GCGAGGAGCTCCGCAACTGCATATAGGAGCCGAGCCAAAATACAGCCAACCTGTAAAATAATGATGCGCGGTAAGGATGCAGGGGCCTTGGAGGGCCACGCAGATGTCTTTCCTTGTTCTTTAGAACGAGGCTGGCCAGCGAAAGTCGCTATAGGGATGGGCCGAATGAGGCAAGGATGCAAGGGCAGTCTTGGGAAGCTGCGGCCCCTCCCACTCCTCCCTCGAGTTGGGTTTTCGCCTGCGTTTTTTTGTTCAAAATGCTGCTCTCGCTGAGGCGCCGGCCTCATTTTCGGGCCCCGCTCGTTCCGAATCGTGTTCCCGCTGCAGCGCTGGCCTCATTTCCGTGCTTCCGCTCGTTCCGAATCGTGCTCCCGCTGCAGGGCTGGCCTCATTTCCGCGTTTCCGCTCGTTTCGACTCGCGCTCCCGCTGCAGCGCTGGCGCCATTTCCCGTGCCATGCCACGGCGTGCAATGCAATGCTAGGTTGATACTACGCTTTGCGGTGCTCTTCTACACCATGCCATGCCGTGCTCTACAATGCATCGCGTACCCTTTCGGGATCATTGCCCTGCTCGACATCCGACTGTGCGAGTAGAGAGGGGATCTAAGCCATGGTAAGGGATGGGAAGGAGGGCTAGGATGTCAGATATGACGCGAGCGCACATAGCTTGCCTCCCTCCCCTCCCTCCCTTCCCTCCTTCTCTCCACAATTACTCAATATGAATACTACTCTCCCTCTTCCCCTGATGACGTGCTGGGAGTGTCCGACCCCCCCCCCCGCGTCCTGCTTTTTTACACACAAGATTCCCGGGAGTTGGGTTTTCGCCTGCATTTGTTTTTCAAAATGCTGCTCTCGATGAGGCGCCGGCCTCATTTTCGGGCCCCGGTCGTTCCGAATCGTGTTCCCGCTGCAGCGCCGGCCTCATTTCCGTGTTTCCGCTCGTTCCGAATCGTGCTCCCGCTGCAGCGCTAGCCTCATTTCCGCGCTTCCGCTCGTTTCGACTCGTGCTCCCACTGCAGCGCTGGCGTCATTTCCCGTGCCATGCCACGGCATGCAATGCAATGCCAGGTTGATACTACGCTTCGCGGTGCTCTTCTACGCCATGCCACGCCGTGCTCTACAATGCATCGCGTACCCTTTCGGGATAATCGCCCTGCCTGACATCCGACTGTGCGAATAGAGAGGGGATCTGCGCCATGGTAAGGGATGGGAGGGAGGGCTAAGATGTCAGATATGACGCGAGCGCACCTAGCTTGTCCTCCCCTCCCCTCCCCTCCCTCCCCTCCACAATTACTCAATATGAAAATACTCTCCCTCTTCCCCTGATGGCGTCCGGGTGATGGCCGCGCATTCTCCGCGTACTGTTTTTTACACACAGGATGCCCGGGAAATCCCGGGAAACGACTCGCGCTGAGGCGCCGGCGTCATTTTCGTGCCGAGCGCCCCCCGCGTACTGTTTTTTACACACAGGACTCCTGGGAAACGGGTTTTCGCCTGCGTTTTGTTGTTCTTTGTTTATATATATATATATATATTAAACATAAAAACATAAAATAATATATATTATATGTATATATATATATATATATATATATATATATGATGCTCTCGCTGGAACCAGAGCGGGCCTCTTTCTCCCCTCGCCTGCCCATCCGCCCCGCCACCACCACCACCACCCACCACCACCACACCACCACCACCAACCACCCCACCACCACCCCACCCCCCCACCAGCACCACCACCAGCACCACCACCACCACCATCACCACCACCACCACCACCACCACCACCACCACCACCACCACCACCACCACCACCACGACAACCACGCACACACGCACGCACGCACGACCGTGCACCACCACCCACTACGCACGCGCGCGCGGAGCCACAGGTCCGCTACGACACGCGTCCGCGGATAGAGAAAATCAGCGCCATGGTAAGGGATGGGAGGGAGGGGTAGGACGTCAGACATGACGCGAGCGCACCTAGCTTGCCTCCTCCCCTCCCCCTCCTCCACCTCCTCCTCTCCCTCCCCTGCCCTCCCTCACTTCCCTACTCCCCTCCCCTCCCTCCGCTTCCCCCCTCCCTCCCCTCACCTCCCTCGTCCCCGTCCCCCCCCCCTCCCTTTGCCTCCCTCCCCCTCCCCTCCCTCCCTCGTCCCCTCCCTCCCCATCCCTCCCTTCCTTCACCTTCCATTCCCCTCCCCTCATCCGTCCCCTTCCCCTCCCCTCCCTTCCTTCCCCTTCCCTTCCATTCCCCTCCCCTCCCCCCCTCCGCCCCTCCCTCGCGCGCTCTTCGGCAAGAAGCCCCGGAAGCCTCCGGCGCAGGACGGCTTCAGGGAGCTCTGTCGGCCGCCCCGCGCAGCGGGAGCTCGACTCCACAGGAAGCCTCCCACGAAGAGACCCGAGACCCGGAGACCCGAGGCCGTCCGCTGGTCTTCGGCGTGGGAGGGGCACGCTTCCCAGAACAAAGCCATCTAAAGCCAAGGAGGAGGAGGAGGAGGAGGAGGAGGAGGAGGAGGAGGGCGCCCTGAAAACAAGCAGGGTGCGTCTTGGCATGCGCTTCCCCCTACAGCAGCCACCAAGCAAAGGGGGGCCCGAGGCCGTCCCTTGGTCTTCGGCGTGGGAGGGGGCACACTTCCCAGAAAAAAAGCATCGAAAATTCTGTTGGGCGCGCCCCCTCTCCAGGGGGGATTTTTTTCGACGAAAATAAAAAGCAACAAAAACAAACATGCTCAACAAATACTGCGCTAATAACCTGGGAACTATGTTTTGAGCATGTTTTTCCTTTTGGGGGGCATTTGTGGGGCATGTTCTGTTTTTCGTCGAAAATCCCCCTGCATGGGGGACAGGCCCGACATAAATCTAAAGCCAAGGAACCCAGGGCGCCCTGGAGGCAAGCAGGGTGCTTCTTGGCATGAGGTTTCCCCTGCAGCAGCCACCGAGGATAGGGAGCCCCCGCCCCACGACGGCCCCACGACAGCCCCACGAGGGCCCCAGACGGCCCGGGGCTCTCCTGGGGTGCTCTGGGGGGGGGGGGGGGGCGGCGCGGATGAGGATGAGGATGAGGAGGAGGAGGAGGAGGAGGAGGACGACGAGGAGGAGGATGAGGATGATTTTGTTTTTGACAGGGCCTCGGGATGAATGCCCTCCACGGCACAAGGCGCCAGCTCCCGCAAACAAGCGCCTCAGCTGTACGAGACTGCCGCCACTGGTTGCCTCCTTTGAGGTCCGCAACAGCAGTCAGTCGGAGCCCACGGGTGCGGCTGGGGAGCGGAAAGCTGGCAGCCGCAGCGCGAGCCTCTACGAGGCGGAGCGCTTCCGAGACACACGACAAAACGCAGCAACTCGGGTACCCCTCCAGCGGGCCACGGCTGCTCGTAACATAAAAACCTGCAAGTGTAAGATCCACGCGAAGAGAGGGGCAGGCCCAGGCAGCCTGGCCCCTGCGACGCCACGACCCGAGCCACGGTCGGGGCCGTCCAATGACAGCCCCCGTGCTCGGATTGAGGATGAGGAGGAGGAGGAGGAGGAGGAGGAGGAAGAGGAAGAGGAGGAGGAGGAGGAGGAGGAGGATGAGCATGAGCATGAGGATGAGGATGGGGATGAGGATGGTGATGGTGATGGTGATGGTGATGGTGATGGTGATGGTGATGATGATGATGATGAAGAAGATGATGATGACGAGGAGGAGGAGGAGGAGGAGGAGGCGGAGGAGGAGGAGGAAGGGTAGGAGGAGGGGTAGGAGTTGGAGGAGGAGAAGGAGGATGCGGAGGAGAAGGGGTAGGAGTTGGAGGAGGAGGAGGAGGAAGAGGGAGAGGAACCCCCCAGGAAAAAGAGGCCCATCGGAAGCCGGCAGGGGTCTCGGGGAACCGCGGGGTCTGCCGAGGCATGGCCGGGGCCCGCCGTCGGGAGCCGCGCCCGGGGCCCATCGTGAGCCAGGTTGGACCAATTTGGCCAGCGGCGGGCCCACGGGAGACGTGAGAGGGGGGGAGGCCTTCTCAGAGGGCGGCGGCCTCCGCCTCCTCTTTCTCCTCCTCCTCCTCTGCTTCCTTCTCCTCCTGCCCCCTCCTCCTCCTCCTCCTCCTCCTCCTCCTCCTCCTCCTCCTCCTCCTCCTCCTCTCTCCTCCTCCTCCTCCTCCTCCATTCTTTCTCCTGATAGATAACTCATCCCTGTCGCACCCCGAGGCCAATTTTTGGGCGGGCCGGGCGTTTCGCCTGAGACTTCCTGAGCCACGACTATGAAGCTTAAAAGATGACAGCACAGCTTCACAGATGGAGGGCGGGTCGATTTCAAAATGTGGCTCTCGCCCCAGCGCCGCGCACAGTCGTTCTAAAAACTGCAGGAGCTTCACGGATTGAGCGCGGGTCGTTTTCAAAACGTGGCTCTCGCCTCAGCGCGTCGCACATTCATTTTGAACATTTGCAAGAGTTTCACGGATTGAGGGCGGTTCCTTCTCAATATGTGGCTCTCGTCTTAGCGCCGCGCACACTCGTTGTGAACATTTGCAAGAGCTTCACGGATTGAGGGCGGCTCTTTTTCAAAATGTGGCTCTCGTTTTAGCGCCACGCACATTCGTTTTCAACATTTGCAAAAGTTTCACGGATTCCCACGATCAACGTATCAGAAGTTGCGTGTTGGAGGGATTCAGGATTATGCGGGCGCAACAGTTATGTTGATTCGCGGTGTCGAAAGCCCCAAAATGACTGTCTGACGCGATTCCGGATCCTCAATACGCAGCAGTCAGGTTGATACTTGGCGTTGAAATCCCGAGAACCATGTTTTGGCATGCTTTAGAATCTTCAAGCGGTTGTCTTCCAATGAGGAAGTTCCCTCAATGGAAGTGAACCGCTGTGGGGGCCTATGAAGCCGGAGCTTGGAGGGAGGGTTAACTCCAACACCATTGATGACTCTTGGTTTTACACTGGTCTTCCTCTTCCTCCTCCTCCTCCCCCTCCTCCTCCTCCTCCTCCTCCTCCTCCTCCTCCTCCAGCGAGAAGGGGGCAGGCCTTCTCGGAGGGCGGCGGGGCTCCTCAGAGGTCCCCCGCGCCCTCCGAGAGGCCGCCCCTGTCCATCGGAGGAGGCTGTCGTGCCGGGCCTCGCGGGAGGGCGGAGACTTTCGAAAAGCCCCGCAAGCTCGCAGCCCCTCTCGCTTCCCCCCAGGGCTCGCCGCCGACCTGGTGAGCGTTTTTGCTGTTTGATTCGGCGTGTCGACATTGGGCGGCAACGTCGTTGATGACTCTTGGATTTCCAATGTTTCTTCTCAGCCTCCTCCTTCTCCCCCTCCTCCTCCTCCTGCTCCTCCTCCTCCAGCCCCCCTCCTCGTCTTCCTCCGCGCCGCGCTCCCCCTACTCCTCCCCCCCGTCTTCTCGTCACGCCCGACACGGACGCGGACATCATGGTGAACGTTTTCTTATTCGGCGTTTCGACATTGGGCGGAAGGGGGGGGCGGGGTCTGGCTCCAGACCTCCGCTTAAAGCGACTGTCTGCAAACGTGCGGCCTTTGGGGGATACTCCACCCGCTCGAGACAGGCGCCCACACACACACGCACAAAAAGGCCAAGATCTGCTGCATGGGCCATGGGGGGGTGGGGCGGGGCGCACCGATCGGCAAGACAGTGAAGAAAAAAACGGTCGCCTGTGTGGACCACCTCGTGTGAGAGGGATGAGTGAGCAAGACAGCCAATCAGCACATGCCCACCCCCTATGGAATGGCGCCCGCACAGGGCACTTGGCCGCAGGACACTCCACAGAGACGCGTGCACCTTGAGGGTCACGCACAGAGAGGTGAGAGAGGAGAACAAGTGCAGGTGTCCTCACCGGCCTGGCCTGTGACATTTTCCACACCTCGCGCCATCCTCGAAGCCCACCTCGTGCCTTCCTCGAGGACCACCTCGTGCCATCCTCGAGGACCACCTCGTGCCCTGCCCTGCCTTGTCGCCTGTGTGGACCACCTTGTGCCATCCTCGAGGCCTGCCTCACGTCCTTCTGCCCTGCCCTGCCCAGCCCTGGCCTTGCCCCGTCGAGAGGACGAGGCGGCGGGCGCACCAGGCGGGCGGCCTGAGCTCCTAACGGGGCCCCAAGATGGTGGGCTTGTTTTCCTCCGCCACCACCAAAAGTAAGAGGGGGAGGGGGTCCTCCTCCTCCCCCTCCTCCTCCTCCTCCTCCTCCTCCTCCCTTTCCCTCTCCTCCTCCCCCCTTTCCTCCTCCTCCTCCTCCTCCTACTCCTCCTCCTCCTCCTCCTCCTCCTCTTCATCCTCCACCTCCTTCCCCCCTCCAACGTGTGGCGGTGGTGGTGGTGGAAAACAGGCTCATCACAAAACAGCCCGAATACGGCCCCGAGAGGCCTCCAGGATGCCCCGGGGTCTCAAACTCTTGGGGGGCGTGCGGGCCGAACTCTCCTCGCTGCACCGAGGCTCCTCTGAATGTCGTTCTCAAGACGGACCGGCACGTGGAGGAGGAGGAGGAGGAGGAGGAGGAGGGGGAGGGGGAGGGGGGGGAGGGGAGGGAGGAGGAGGAGGAGGAGGAGGAGGAGGAGGAGGAGAGGAGGAGGAGGGAGGAGGAGGAGGAGGAGGTGAGGAGGAGGAGGAGGAGGGAGGAGGAGGGGAGGGAGGAGGAGGAGGAGGAGGAGGAGGAGGAGGAGGAGGAGGAGGAGGAGGAGGAGGAGGAGGAGGAGGAGGAGTGAGGAGGAGGAGAGGAGGAGGAGGAGGAGGAGGAGGAGACGAGGAGGGGAGGAGGAGGATGAGGAGGAGGAGGAGGAGGAGGAGGAGGGGGAGGAGGAGGGAGGAGGAGGAGGAGGAGGAGGAGGAGGAGGAGGAGGAGGAGGAGGAGGAGGAGGGGGAACGTTCTCTGGAGGGACCGGCGGGGGCACGCGAAGCGCCCAGAATGGGCAGAAGGCGAGCATGCTTGCCGGGGACGCGCGTGCGCGTTTCGGTGTGCAGGTGCGGGCGCGCGCACGAAGTGGCAGCAGCAGGGGGGAGCGGAAGCGGAAGAGGAGGAGGTGGGTCGAGGATCGAGGATCGAGGCACCTCGCATCGATGGAGGTCGAGGATCGAGGGCCGAGGAGGAGCGAGTGTCGAGGAGGCAGCCTCGCCCCTCTCGCTCCCGCCTGCTCTCAGCCCGACCTCCGGCGCAGCGCGCTCTCCTCTCCGGTCGCCGGGCGGCCGCACGGAGAGGCGGCCGCCCACTGCAGCCCCCCGTGCGGTGCGCCTCCTCCGAGAGGCGCCGACTTGTGCACGCGTGTGCGTAATGATGTACGCACGAGCGCTTGCATGCAGGTGCATGCGCAAACCTGTGCGCACGTGTGCGCGAACGAGCGCATGTGCTAACGTACGTCAGCACGCATGCGTGTATACAAGTACGCGCGCACGTGCATGCCCTGCACATGTGATCGCGTGCTGGGTCCAAGGTAGGCTGGGTAAATTGTTGCCTTCGGTGCGCTCGTTGCCGCCACGCCTCGCTCTGTTGGGCTCGCGTCGGCTCAAGACGGCCCCAGAAGCCTCCACGACAACGGCCCTAAGGAGGAGGAGGGGGAGGAGGAGGGGGAGGAGGAGGAGGGGGAGGAGGAGGAGGAGGAGGAGGAGGAGGAGGAGGAGGAGGAGGGGGAGGAGGAGGAGGGGCCCCGACGGGGTCCCGAGAGGACCCCAAGACGGCCCAAGACGGCCCAAGCGGACGGCCTCCGCGATGCCCTTCTCGCTGGCGCGTGCCTCTCGCTGCGTGTGCTCCACGCCCTCCGCCACGGCAGCCCCGCGGCACCCGCGGCTGGGGGGGCGGGCGCGGGAGCCCACTCGATGAGCGTCTGCACGTCGTAGACCTCGAGCCCTCCTCCTCCTCGTCCTGGTCCTGGTGCTCCTCCTCCTCGTCCTCCTCCTCCTCCTCCTCCTCCTCGCACTCGTACTCCCTCTCCAGCCCCTTTTCTCTCCTCCTCCTCTCCTCCTCCCCTCCCTCGCTCTCTTCCACTCTCCTTACCAATACTAGTACGATTGTTATAATCATATGTTTCTTGTTATTATTATTCTTATTTTTTTTTCTTATTATTCTTCTTCTTCTTCTTCTTCTTCTTATTCTTCTTCTTCTTCTTCCTCCCTGCGTCTGCCCATCCCCCCTTCCTCCCTCCCCCCTTCCCCCCCTCCCGTCCCCTCCCCCTCGACCCCTCCCTCCTGCCTCGTACTGCCTCCCCCCGGGCCTCCCCCTCCCCCTCCTTGTGCTGGAGGAGGCGCTGGGGCTGCCGGAGGCGAGCTGGGGCTGTCGGAGGCGAGCTGGTGTGGCGCGAGCGGCGGGCTGCCGGCGGCGGGCTGCTGGAGGCGAGCTGCGAGCGCCGGAGGCGAGCTGCGGGCGGCGCCGGACCCAGACATCCAATTTCGTGTGTTTTCCATGCGGGGTCCCGGGTGGTCTCCCGAGGTCTCGACAACTTCCTCGGGCAAGTTTTTCGGCCCTGGGCTGATTTTTCACGATCCCAGGGCCCCTTGAGGGCACCCGGAGACAAAAAAACGGAAAATCACGGCATTGCAGAAAATCACGGCGTTGGGGTTCTGGGGAGGCGCGGGCTGCCGGAGCCGCGAGCTGCTGGAGGCGAATGGCGGGCTGCGATGCGACAGGTTACGAAAGTACGATTTTGTGTTCTTGCTGCTATCATTGCCAATTCTCTCTCATCGTCTCCTTTGTTCTCACCGTATTCGTAGGTCGCATGTTTTTTTCCCCAATCAGAGCTTGCCTCTGTAGGGGTCCTAGCGGATTAAAGGGGTTAGGAAGTGTAGGCCGCCGATTTCAGTGGCCTGTGCCCCCCCAAGATTTCGGTGGCCGGGTGGCGGGTGCCCGGGTGTCCAGGTGCCCTATAGCCCAATAGCCCAATAGCCCAATATCCCTATATCCATGTAGCCCTATAGCCCTATAGCCCTACAGCCCTACAGCCCTGTAGCCCTGTAGGGCTGTAGCCCAATAGCCCTGCAGCCCTATGGCCCTACAGCTCACAAAAAAAATGATTGGGCTTTTTCTCTGGTGTCATTTCGTTTTGAACGAGTTGAAGTTCCTCGCGCTTCGTCTATCCTCACCAGCCCATTCAGAAACGCTGCCAATAACAGCTGACGGGAAACGGGGCGGCGGCGGCGATCACGACCGACGACTGACGACGACGACGACTGACGACGACGACTGACGACGACGACGACGACGACGACGACGACGACGACGACGACGACGACGACTGACGACGACGACGACGACGACGACGACCACGACCACGACGACGACGACGACGACGACGACGACGACGACGACGACGACGACGGGTTCATCGGGTCGAACCTCGGACGCCGACAGCGACCGTGGCGGACAGGGCGAATGTTCTGCCACCCGAGCTCACCGCATCTCCGAGGGCAGAGTTGCGAAGATGTCACCCCAGGTCACAGGAGGTCCATCGAAAGACCTGTAGAACACATTTCTGCAACCGACGACCACGCCACCGTAGCCACTTCGGTTTGTGCAGAGACTTTCGTCTCGCAGGTGTGTTCAGCAATTCTTGACGCTTCGCGCATCCCCACCAGCCCACCCAGAAATAATTGCCAGCTCTCTCGAGCCCTCTTGGAGGCTATCTTGAGCCATGCTCGGCTAGAGGCCGTCGGAGGCTATCCTGAGCCATGCTCGGCTAGAGGCCGTCGGAGGCTATCCTGAGCCATGCTCGGCTAGAGGCTGTCGGAGGCTATCTTGAGCCATGCTTGGCTATCTTGGGCCATATGAGGATGTATTGAGGCCTCTTGGAGGTCTGGCTGAGGCTATTTTTTTCAAGACTACTCAGAGCTGGAGCTGGAGCTCGACTTCACAGACGTGTCAGAAGCACTTCTCGAGGCTATCTTGAGCCATACTTGGCTATCTTGGGCTTTTTTGAAGGCCATCTTGGGCTATCTAGGCGCCCCCTCGGAGGCTCTCAAACGGCGTCTTGGAACGCTCTTGGGCGATCTTGGGGCCGTCTTGGGGCCTTCTTGGGCCCTCTCGGGGCTTTCTTGGGCCTTCTTGGGGCCATATTGATGCTTCTAAAGGCCATCGGACGCGAAAAGGCGAGAATGCCAAACACATTGATTTTACCTGGGCTTTTGAAGGGTTTGGGCATCTTGGAAAGCGCGCCGCGGAAGGCTCGAAAGGCACTTGGATCCATCTTGCGGCCTCTTGGAGGTATGCCGGAGGCTATCTTGACCCGTCTTGAAGTATCTTGGGCAATCATGGATATTCTAAAGGGAGGCTCCCTTCAGCCATCTTGAGTGTCAGCGGATCGCCGCTGAAGGCCCATGGAACAAAACAACGTGAGGGGCTTTCCGAATTGAGGCCCCCGTCAGAACGGAAAAGCTAATCTGTATTACGTTTGCGCCGCCCCCAATCATTCGCAGATGTACGTGTCCCAGTCGCCTGGGAACACAGATCGCTCTTGATTTTAAGCGCCCTGTGGGGGAGTGTGACAGGCGTGCAGAAGTGAAGCCATCGGAGCCATCGGAGTGCAGACATTCGCATGTTCACGTGTCGAAGAAAATCGGAAGCGCGGCTTCCCGAGGAATGCTTGTTAGGCGTTTTTCGTTTGTCTGGACCCGGGGTGGCGTAGCCCATGGGGCACTAACGACAACTCTGCCGGAGAATATGCCATCTGTCACAAGATGTGAGAGAGACCTTTCTTCCAGTACACGTGCGTACATGTATCGATCTTGAGCCGGGGCGGGGGCGGGCTTCACAATATCAGGTAAGGGCATCTCTGAACCCAGAGGTCCCAAGGATAGATGCAAGCTACGGGCTCTCCTTCTCCCTCCTTCTTACTCTCATCACCCGCCGCTCGGCCCGCAGTCGGCTCAGATAGCATCGCTTTCTTCAAGACTGCTCTCCACCCCTTTTCTCGCCCAAACACAATGGCAGACCCTCTGATGTGCACATGCCAGGGCTGTGATCAGTGCTACGGCCCGTACGACGGCCGCGCGTGCTGGAGCACGAGAGCGCGAACCCAGAGGTGCACACCGCTTCGCGGAACGGCATTGCTGGCGTTTTGGGTGCTTTAGGGGTTTCTTGATTTTCGGGTCCTTAGGGTCTATGGTCTTGGGTCCTCTAGGCGTTTCTGGGGTCTTGCGATCTTTCAAAGAACTTTCGAACTTAGGGTCCTTTTGGGATTCCGGGTGGCTTGAGTGTTGTCGGGGTCTGGAGGGTCTTGTAGGTATTTCTCGGGTCCTGGTTACTGGATGGGGGCTTCTCGGGTGTCTTTCAGTAAGCTTGCACGCCTGGGACGCCCTATATGAGGGCTTGCGTGTGGGAAATGTTTCCGTTGTGCGTCGCCTGCGCCGGCACGGCGCCGGCGGCCACGGCGCCTCCTCCGCGGCAGCCTCGGGATGACGACAGCGACGACGAGGAGCAGTTATGGCGCCTCATGCGCCAGTTGAAGAGGCGCCTCGGCCTGCGCACCCTCCTCGAGAGGCTCCGGCACATCTAGACATCTAGGGGATGCCTTACGGCTGGTGCCGACGACGACGACGAAGACGACGACGACGAAGACGACGACGACGAGGAAGACGACGACGACCACGACGACGAAGACAGGGATAGACGACGTTATGGAAGAACGTCTTTCAAACGCTGCCAGGATCGGCGGAAGCGATCGGCGGAATCGTCTCAAAAACTCTGGCCTTGCCAATGAGTAGCTCTTTCGTAATGTGAAGGCAGCTTCTGTCGCCTGAGAATCAGAAGAGCTCGTTTTCGTTGGATTGTTGGTGCAGGTTGAGGCAGTACAAAGTTTTGGCTTCTCTCAGACGAATTGATTCTCAACTACGATCACTTGGTACTCCCATGCTCCCACAAACAGGGTCAAGAGACCATCAGGTGAGAAACTCTAGCCTTGCCAATGAATAGCTCTTTCGTAATGTGAAGGAAGATTCTGTCGCCTGAGAATCAGAAGAGCTCGTTTTCGTTGGATTCTTGGTGCAGGTTGAGGCAGTTCAAAGTTTTGGCTTCTCTCAGACAAGTTGATATAGTGCGGGTTGAGGCAGTTCAGAAGTATAGGCTTCTCTCAGGCAAGTTGGTTCGTGTCTCTCGTTCCTTTTTCTGCACTAGATGAGAGAACGCATCAGTTCAAGAGATGTTGTAGAATATTTCAATGTTCTTTTCATTCCTAGTCAAAAACGCGCAGGTCTCGATATCGTCACCCGTGGACCGCGTGACGTTTCCAGCAGCGGATTGCGGCGGAGATGGAATAAAAGATTCTGTCCGAAGGTTTCGTGCTGTTGAGTTGCGGCTTGATGCTAAATGTTGCTTGATGCCTGCGGAAATCCCCGCCGGCAAGGAGGAGATGAGGAGCGCCCCCGGGATTCGTCAGAACAAGAAGATGAGCGAGCGAGCGCGCGGTTCCGCCGAAGGCGGCCCCCCTTCAGGGCCTGCGCGGGGGAGCCGGAGCCTTCATGTCTGGCCCCCGGGGCTGACGATCCGGTCCTTCAAATGTTTCTCTGCGTCAGGATCTCGAAGCAGGAGGTCACGCACGTCGTGTGGAACATCAATACTTGGAGGTCGAAAGCTGGAGGTGGGGGGTGGAGGCCGTCAGCTGTTGCTGTCGCTGGACGGGGGGGAGTCGAAAGCTGGAAGCTGAAAGTCGGTCAAGTCAGGCGCAAGATAAATAGATAGAGGTCGAGAGTCGAAGGTGAAAGGTTGGATGTCGTCAGCTGTTGCTGTTGCTGGAAGGGAAGGTGAGAATTGACAGCTGGAAGCTCAGAGTCGGTCAAGTGAAGTAGGAGGTCGAAAGGTGGGTGTTTGGATGTCGTCAGCTGTTGGTGGTGGACGGTGGGAGGACATGAAGAC